TGCGCGCGCTCAGCGGGCCACGGTAAAATTATCAAAGGCTGACTGGTCCGCGGCGATAAAAAGGTTGGGGACCACTGGGTTAGGAGATTTTGCTCACAATACAGTATCTATTGAAACTGCTAAAATTTTTATATGTAGATGTTTAGCTATACCAAAGACTGAGAAGGGGATTAGAGGCTCTAATCTACATCCAATGGTGTTTTTTGGGGGGAAAGAATTTTCAATGAAGGCAAATATACATGTCCCAGGATAATATTGCAGGATCTAATCAGGGTCGGTCACCTGGACCAGAGGTTTTGTCTTCGGAGCTTTCAGACTCGTGCTGGAGCCATTCTTCATGGTCTCGGTGACCAACCCAGATTGAGGAAGAATGTTTACAGAAGTATTTTAATACTAGCACTGGGGATGAAATTGCTCTTCAGATGTCTCTACAAAACTTGTAGATATCTTTGTGTTAATTTATAAATTGTATGTATGTATATTAGTAATTAAATGTAATTACTACACTTACTACATTTATAAAAAATAGAAACCCCAAGAGTTGTAAGTTAAATGTGGGATGTGTGGGAAGAAGGCAAGAGCTACCCCTTTGTTAACAAAATTGCATAAAGTCCATGAAGTCACCAAGAACGGAGCTTAAGTCGAATAGCACTTACCGTATTTTTCAGAGTATAAGACGCACCTTTTCCCCTCAAAAAAGAGACTGAAAATCTGGGTGCGTCTTATACACTGAATACAGCATTTTTTGCCTCCTGAAACCCCGCCCCCTTCACCAAAATGGTCGTGCATAGCTTGTTGGAGGCTTTCAGAGACCTCCTGGGGGCTAGGGAGAGCAGAAATGAGCAAAAAATGGGCCTTTTCCCCCCCTCAACCCCCAGTAACACTCTACAAGCCTCCTAAGGGCTATTCATGCCCCCACTTTTTTGGGGGGGGAAACGGGCCCATTTTTGGGAGGTTTGCAGAGTGCAAAAACCTTTTTTTAAAAATTTGCCTTTTCAAAACCTTGCTGCGTCTTATACTCTGGTGCGTCTTATTCTCCGAAAAATATGGTATCTTTCAAGGATATAATTCTTCCTTTCCAATGTACTTTGCTTATTGGTTTATAAATCCAGGTCATGTATTTTCAGTACTGATATTCAGAGTTAATAGTTTGTGAATATCAAAAGTGATTGGAGTTTTTATTGCTGTGAAAAACAATGAGAAAAGTTTAATGTTGAAGCCATCCTTTCTTTGCAGGGAATTATATTTTCAGAAACTGCTGTTGCCAACTATGTAGGTGGTGAAAATTTGTTTAAAAACAATATTGAGAAGATTCCTGCAAAGAGATTAGGACTTCCCGAAGAGGTATAGTATTATGTTGATTTAATTGCTATATTTTGAACTTCAAAGGAGGGCCATGATACTTCAAACTCTATACTTTGTGTGTGTATAGCCTTGCTGCCTTATTTGACATAACCTTTATTAATCTGAAACTCAGCAAACAGTTATTTATGTAATTTATTGAATTTTAATTTCATTATTTATTTAAGTTTGCAAGTTTACTTCTACTTCATTTATGAATATATTTTATATTTCATTTCAGTTTATGAATGGTGATGAAATGTCATCTCAAAAATCTGGAGCTCAAAAATGCTGTACATTGTAAATTTACAATTAAGACATTTTTCTTTTTTTTTTTTCCGTTCAAGCCGCGATGTTAGGCGGCGTTAGGCGGCATCCGCGGCCAGCAATGTCGGCGGCCAGCAATAAACAATGTCTCTCGGCATCCGCGTCGCTTCCCAACTCTCTTGACTCGGTCCTAGGGGCCAATTTCCCCTCTCACCAGCTTTTCTTTTGGTTGTTCAGTCTCCGCCGTCTCCGCAGGTTTTTTCCGTTCAAGCCGCGATGTTAGGCGGCGTTAGGCAGCGTCCGCGGCCAGCAATGTCGGCGGCCAGCAATAA